GCCTGTGCCTGAAGTTGCAGCATCTTGCAGCAACTGATGGCGACATTACTTGTCTCCCTTTTAATATACCCTGACCAAATACCTACAGTTAAACTGGGGACAGCGAGGAAGGGGCCATATTGAATAGAAGTCTGCAGCACAGAGAGCCATTCGATCCATCTAGCCTATGCTAGCCCATTCAAAGAGCAATCAGTTTGCACTGCGTCGTCTCTTTTATCTTTGCCTCCAATATTTCCCCTTTGAGTATACAACTGCCCTCCCACCAAGTCTGTTTCCACTGGGTGGAGTCACCGCTGCCTTACCACACCAAAGGGCAGCTCACTCTCGTTAGAGAGATGGCTGGTGGCGGTTTAACTTGAGGGTCACCATGCCTCAGGCGAGGGGAGAGCTTGAGAAGGAGGGACCTCCTTGATAACTTCAATTGGCATAGGAATTGAACCCACCCTCATCCAGCCTACTGAGCTAACCAATCCCCATCACCCCAGCGGTTCCACCAGCCATGAGGTAAAGCATTGTAAATCAGTAGCCACTCGATTAAACTCATCACCTGAAGAGCAGGAAGGGAAGGAGAGGCTTTTTTTGACACACACAAGCGCGCAGAGATAGCAGGATGTGGAATACTTTGGCACAGGGAGTGCCTGGAGTTGAGCCAAGTGCATCTTTGAGGGAAAGCTGGATGAATAGATATTGCCAACATTGCTGGCAGGGTGTAATTACAAGGTGACACCGTGCGCTTTACAAATGTGGATACGAAAAATTAAAATGGAAAAACGGGAAGAGTTAGCAGATGCAAGGAATAAAGAAGAAGAAAAAAATAATTTTACAGATTAGTCGTTGAGTAGAACAGAAATTGAGCATTAGCAAAAGAGAAGTACCATCAAAACTGAACCTGCAGCATTGACCAGGACACATGCCAGAATGCCAAATTCCACAGGGAGCACCAACTTATTACATATGAGAACAGAGTGCTGATTGGCTGGAGGGTTCACCCTGATTGGTCGAGAGGTTGCCACGAAGAATGCACCGGGGCACTATTGGCTGCCAGAGGGTTTGTCTGATTCAAAAAATGTGCAATTTCTGGGCATTTTCCTTTCTCCTGCGTCTCTGTAGCTTCTAAGCGAAAATGATTTTATAGTTTAGGATTTCTGGGGGCTGGGAGGGGAGGGGGTTGGGGTTAGCTATTTGGGTATGATCTCGATATCCCCTCCCTCCAGCTTCATAGTTACCAAGACTCCATTGTAGTTCCTGGTTATGGCGGCCTTGTGGAGAGCTGTCATACCGTCCCGTGCTCGGAAGTCGATGTGCGCCCCTCCCAGACACAGCACTCGGATCACATCTGAACAATTCTCCAGCTGCGCGGACAAAGTCAATGGCACTTCTGTGAGGGAAATTGGAAAGTTTATTCCCATCGCAATCCACACCCAGGGCCTTTGTCCCAATTCCTCCTGTCGACTGAAGCAATGAGTCTGAAATGAGAACACCCTCCTCCCACCCTCCCGACTCCCACATACATGCCCCTCACCCTCCCACAACCTTGTCCCTGGCACCAATGCCCAAGACCCCCTCATGACCTCTCCTGGCTCTACTCCCTCCTCTACTGACTCCGCTGATGATTTTGAGGACTCCAGCCTCCCCTCCCCCAAGCCCGTTCCATGCACATGACCCCTGCAAAGAAGCAGAGCAGCTTTTTTTTTGGGAGGGGGGTGGTTCTGAGGGCCTTTCAGCCCTTTTAAGTCTGTGTGCTGGCCCGTTTTGAGGAGCAATCCACTTGGCCTCACTCCCTACTCTGTGTTGGAGTTCATTTTTCCATCAGGAGGCCTTCAAACATCCCGCCCAGCTGGAAAAAGGACAAGGCCATGCGCGACCAGTAAAAAAGGTTCCTATTTTCAATCATGATCATTGACTCACTGTTGTCCCAAGGACTCAGGCCATGGGTCCAACACAAAGGGTCAGGCCAGGTTAACTGTCCAAACCTGATTCTAAACATTATGTCAATGCCATAGGATCATAGAATCCCTACAGCAGGCCATTCGTCTCATCGAGTCCACACTGACCATCGAACAGCATAATCCGTGGGAGATACATAAAGATATTTGAGATCGCATTTGATATTTTCTTTCCACTGGGCATCTGTCAGAGCCTGTTATGAAGCTCAAGGTCCCTGGGTGAGTTAGAAGCTTATGTTGCACTTGGAGACTTGAAACTGAGCCTCAGTTAAACCAGCAAAGTATTAGCACCTGACATCTCAGGCCAGGATACTAACTTTCCAGGATCTCCCTGGAGTCTCGAGAAATGAATCACGAATCACCAAAAACAGGAGGAAAACCATGGAGATATTAAACAAAATTACCCCATTTCCCTTTGAGCAATTCCATCTCCTAGAATCATAGAATTCCTACAGTGGGGGAAGCAGGCATTCGGCCCATCAGGTCCACACTGATCCTCTGAAGAGCATCACATGCAGACCCAATCCCCCTACCCTATCCCTGTAACTCTGCATTTCCCATGGCTAACCCACCCAGCCTGCACATCCCTGGACACTTTGGGCAATATAGCACGGCCAATCTACCCTAACACTGCACATCTTTGGACCGTGGGAGGAAACCGGAGCATCCCATCTGGTTCTAAACCAATCAGAGGCAGGAATGATCTTTCGCAAATGAATCGAGCTTCAGCCAGTTTGATAATAAAAGGGACAGCTCCCTTTCCCATTGGGGGTGGGCAACAGCAGGAGGGTGGAGGGAGCACAGCGTTTGGAATGTCACATGATAAAACTTCCAACCTGTGGAAGCAGAGGTTACAGGCTGAGACCATTTTACCCATCTATTGCAGAGGGTCAGTTCAACAACTAGGCAGTCATCCTTGAGAGTCAAGATACTTGCAGTAAGGGCAGGAAAACAAAAAACGAATGAGTTACAGTCATCCTGAAGCAAACAGGATTCGGGAGTGGGAATGGAAGGCCTGGATCTGCTGGTGTACATCTACGGATACAAACAAATATAGAAAGAAAAAGCAAAAACAGAACAACCTGAAGAAATGCAGATGTTGCCAGACCTCCTGAGTTTCTCCAGCAATTTCCGTTTTTCAGATCCCCAGCGTCTGCTGTTCTTTGCTTTTCTAGCAAACATGTCGAATTCCATTGCAGCCTTTCCCTAAATGTCATAGTATGTTCCACATTTAGGAACACAGCAACAGGAGTAGGCCATTCAGCCTGCCTTGGGCTCCTATCCCTTGAAACCCTTGCTTAATAAAAATTGGCGTACCTCATATTTCAATGTAACAATTGAATTAGCATTGACCGCTGTATAATGAAGAGAGTCCCCAAATTCCACCACTCTTTGTGTGTGGGAGTGCTTTCTAACAAAAGTTCGGCATGTCCATGATGGCTCTTACCAATTTTTACAGATGCACCATAGAAAGCATCCTATCCAGATGCACCACAGCTTGGTACGGCAACTGTTCTGCCCAAGACCACAAGAAATTACAAAGAGTGGTGAACACAGCCCAGTCCATCACACAACCCAGCCTTTCTTCTATTGACTCCATCTACACTTCCCACTGCATGAAGAAAGCAACGAACGTAATCAAAGACCCCTCCCACCTCTTACACTCTCTTCCATCGGGCAGAAGATACCAAAGTTTGAAAACTCATACCAACAGATTTAAGAACTGTTTCTTCCACACTGTTATCAGAATTAGAGTCCTTGAGTCATAGAGACATACAGCACAGAAACAGACCCTTTAGTCCAACTCGTCCATGCCCAATCAGATATTCTAGATAAATCTAGTCCCATTTGCCAGCACTTGGCCCATATCCCTCTAAACCCTTCCTTTTCATGTATCCATCCAGATGCCTTTTAAATGTTGTAATTGTATCAGCCTCCACCACTTCCTCTGGCAGCTCGGTCCATACACGTGCCACCCTCTGCATGAAAAATGTTGCCCCTTGGGCTCCTTTTAAATCCTTCCCCTCTCACCTTAACCCTCTAGTTTTGGACTCCCCCACCCCAGGGAAAGGACCTTGTCTATTTACCCTGTCCATGCCCCTCATGATTTTATAAACCTTTATAAGGTCACCCCTCAGCCTTCGATGCTCCAGGGAAAATAGCCCCAGCCTATTCAGCCTCTCCCTATGGCTCAAACCCTACAAACCCTGGCAACATCCTTGTAAATCTTTTCTGCACCCTTTCGAGTTTCACAACATCCTTCCTATAGCAGGGAGACCAGAACTGAACACAGTATTCCAAAAGTGGCCTAACCAATGTCCTGTACAGCTGCAACATGACCCTCCCAACTCCTATACTCCATGCACTGACCAATAAAAGCAGGCATACCAAATGCCTTCTTCACTACCCTGACTACTTGGGACTCCACTTTCAAGGAAGTGTGAATTTGCATTCCAAGGTCTCTTTGTTCAGCAACTTATGAATGATCCTCTCATATATTAGAGTTGATCTTTCTCTGCACCATCTCTGTAGCTGTAACACTATATTCTGCATTCTGTTCTATCACCTTGACATACTTAATGAAGGTATCATTTGTCTGGATACAATACTTTTCACTCTATCTTGGTGTATGTGACAAGAATAAATCAAATCAAAATCTCGCTGTCTGTTTCTCACCAGCAAAGTGATTGAAAGCATCTGGTTTATCAGGCCCTGGGCCTAGCTGCTGCAGAGTGAACAAAGAAGCCAAGTTACCCTGATGTTTATCATTCTCCACCTGCCACTCTCACAGCGGGAGAGAAGTCACTGATCATCATCGTTAGCACGGAACGCTGGGATGGCTGTCAGAACAGGCCAACATTCTCTACCTCTGTCGTCAAGGAGGTAGTCTCCATGGGAACGCAGAGGTAGATCAGTTCTGTCAGTCTTTGGCTTAGGCACGTGAGGTACCAGGGAGTGAACCTCACAGACAGCAGTTTACATGTGTATGACACACGGAACCACAACAGCTGGTCACACGTGTTTTACACATGGAACCACGCCAGCAGTTTACATATGTTTTACACACGGAACCACGCCAGCCAGTTACACGTGTTTTACACATGGAACCACGCCAGCCAGTTACACGTGTTTTACACACGGAACCACGCCAGCCGTTTACATGTGAATTACACATGGAACCACGCCAGCCAGTTAAACGTGTTTTACACACAGAACCACGCCAGCCAGTTACACGTGTTTTACACACAGAACCACGCCAGCCAGTTACACGTGTTTTACACACAGAACCACACCAGCCATTTACATGTGAATTACACGTGGATTTACCAAGCCTTGTGGCCTCCCAGGAATAATTTCAGCTCCCCAAAGTTGCAGACTTTATTAACACATCCCTCACTAACAGATCACTTCCTCAGCAACTGGCTATGACTTTGCTATTCCCTTCAGTCACAATTGTCGAGAGATCTTTGCTAATCAAAGCCTGTTGCAGTGACAGTGCCGAGCAAGCCTTGCCATCTGGTTCCAGCTGTAGCACAGTGGGCAGCACCCTGACCTCCAAGACTGAAGGTGGTAGGTTACAAGCCCCCTTTCTGAGCCCTAACACACTTCACTGTAGCTGATACTTTCAGCAGCAAGTTTGAGAGAGCTGTGTTGATGGAGAAACTGCATTTTGGACGAGACAAGTGATGAGCTAACAGTCCTAAGTACGTCTCTGACCAACTACCAGATAGAATTTTTTTCAGAATGTAATCTTTTGAATAGGGGCAGCACGGTGGCTCAGTGGCTAGCACTTCTGCCTCACAGCGCCAGGGACCCAGTCTAATTCCACCCTCAGGTGACTGTCTGTGTGGAGTTTGCACATTCTCCCTGTGTCTGCGTGTGTTTCCTCTGGGTGCTCCGGTTTCCTCCTACAGTCCAAAGATGTGCAGCTAAGGGTGGATTGGCCATGCTATAGCGTCCAGGGTGTGCGGGCTGGGTAGGTTAGCCATGGGAAATGCGGGTTTACAAGGACACGGTGGTGGACTGGGTTTGGCTGGGATTCTCTTTGGAGGTCACTGTAGGCTTGATGGGCTGAATGGCCTCTTTCTTTGTAGCAGGGATTCCATGATGAGTCAGCCATCCAAAGAACTACGATCGCCAGAGGAACTCCCCTGGCCTTCCCTCGGGCAGCAAACATCTCTCAGTGCCTCTGACACTGATAATGTTAGCCCAGGTTACTGTTTCTCTATCAATCAATACTTTGTTGCCTTTCCCTGATTACCCTCAAACTGAATGGCAGATACAGCCAATGAAGGGGGCAATTAAGAATCAGCTACCTAGCTGTTGACTTGGTTGTACATGTAGGTCAAACCGGAGAAAAGTGGCAGATTGCTAAAGGGGTATCAGGGAGTCACATGGGTTTTTACAACAATTGATGTTAGCTTTTTTAATTCATTCACAGGATGAGGGTATCATTGGGCGGACCAGCATTTATTGCCCAGAGGGCAATTCAGAGTCAAACTCATTGCTGTGGGTCTGGAGTCACATGTAGACCAGGCCAGGTAAGGGTGGCAGTTTCCATCCCTAGAGGGCATCCGTGAACCATGGGTTTTTCCTGACAATCGACAATGGGTTCATGGTCAACAGCAGGTTCATAAATGCAGATTTTCTTTTGAATATTGAATTCAAATCTCACCATTTGCTGGAGTGAGATTTGAACACAGAACATGAGCTGAGTTTCAGGGTGAATAAAATAGCAATCATACAACTAGGCCATCACCTCCCCAGGGTCACGACACTATTCCAGGTTTGTTAAAGTCTACCAGCTCCAATGGTGGGACTTGAACTTCTGTCTCCATCACATTAACGAGGGGGCATAAAGTGAGTGGAGGTAGATATAGGGGAGACGTCAGAGGTAGGTTCTTTACTCAGAGAGTGGTAGGATTGCTGGAGAGGATAGTGGAGTCAGCCTCATTCGGGGCATTTAAGCGGCTATTAGATAGGCATATGGATGATAGTATAAGGTAGGGGTGGAGGTTAGATAGACCTTAGGTTCAGGGTAAAAGTTCGGCACAACATCGTGGGCTGAAAGGCCTGTGCTGTGCTGTACTGTTCTAAGTTCTATGTTCTATGTTAACCTGGGCCTCTAGATTAACAAGCAACATTACCACTACACCACACCCCAAGGCTTACAAACTCAAGCTTAAAAAGTGGGGCCTAGACCTTCTGACAGCGAGGTAAACATGTGACACATTGTACCAAGACTGACAAGCGAGATTTTAGAATCACCTGGAAATTTGCAAATAATCAGTGGTGAGTGAGACGCTCCAACCACCCTGCTCAGTGGGAGGCAGCGCTGCATTCCAGACTTGTCAATAAGCTGAGGCAGTAAGTATTTATAATTTTTGACCTGTTTTCTAGCACAGGTACCCGTGGCCACCCCTCTGACCTGAGGGAAGTGAGAGGAGTGAAAAGAGAAGTTGTTGAGGGTGAGGACGAGCTCGGTGAGGTGGAGGAGGCTGGGGACGGTTCAGGCCTTTTTCCCGGGAGGAAGCAGACAGCCCTGAGGCCATCCCGATGGGAGATGGACGTGGAAAAAGGATTGCACATCCGTGGTAAAGAGGAGGCGGCTGGAGCCTGCAAACTGGACGTTCTCAAACTACCATACAGCATCGGAAGAATCGCAGATGTTAAGCGCGGGAAGGGACCGGACAAGAGAAGGAAAAGCTGAGTGAAGGTAGGAAGCGATGAGTTCTGTGGGGCAGGAGCAGGAGGAAACAATGCGTCTGCTGGGGCAGTCCTGTTTGTGGACTTTGAGAAGGAGGTAGAAGTGGGCTGTGTGGGGTCGGGAGGCTGGAGGCAGCGTGGGGGTGGGGGGAGAGATCACCAGATAAAGTAAGTTAGTGACTATTGTGGACGCAGCGGCCTGATGTTCCAGGGTGGGGTGATGGTTCCGCGGTGGGGGGAGATAGGAGGAAGTACCTGAGATCTGGTGCTCGGCCTCCGCAATGTAGGGGACAGTCTGCCACACAACAGCAGCCACCACCCTTGTACCCTGGCTTGATCACAAAGTCAAACGTTGGTCCACTACCGTCACTAACCTCATTTCGCCTGGTGATCTGTGGTGGTTAACTCTGATTTCTCGCCCCAGATGCTGCCAGACCTGCTGAGCTTCTCCAGCAATTTCTCTTTGTGTTTCTGATTTCCAGCATCTGCAGTTGTTGCAGTTTTTATTAAGGAATATTTGAAACTGCTAGAGCGAGTAAGCACTCAGAAAAAAAAGTGACATCGAGTAAAGGAGATGACAGTAATTTGTTCATTTGATCTGAGGTCGAAAGCTGCAGAATCACTGTATAGTTACAGTGCAGCAGGCCATTTGGTCCATTAAACAAGAATCATTCCCTAGCACTAAGAGAATCTAACCAAAGATAGAACAGGATTGAAGGGCTGAATGGTCTCCTCCTGTTGTTATGGGTTTCCTCACAGCTTTCTGCACCTGGGTACACCAGTCTAACCCTGAAAAGTGGAGAACCCTGACTGTAAAACAGTACTTACTCAACATCCAGAATCTTCCAAGAGGTTGAGGATAGAATCTTCAGCTCTTCTGTCCAAATTTTAAATCAGTGGTGCGTGTTGAAATATACCGCAGGTTTGAATGAGCAGCGCAACTTATGGAATTTCTCGACGTTTCCGAACCATAGACTGTATGTCGCTCCCGTTGCAATGTCTCACTGATCCTTCTCAATCCTCTTCTCCCTCACTCTCTCTTCCTCATGCATCCTGTTTCCTTTGTCCTTTTTCTCCCCACCCTCATTGCCTCCAAAAACTTTCCTCTTCAACCCCTTCCTTGCCCGGCATTGACCCATCCCCCTGTCCTCCCCTCCCCTCATGACCCCCCACCCCCAACATCCCAGGTCTGAACCTTTAGTGTATATTAAGAGCTTACCCCCAGTCTCTGCATCGTGGTAGTTGGGATCCAGCCCTTTATCTAAGAGTTTAAGCATCTTATCGACTGAGCCATGTTGGACATATTCGAAAAACTTCTTTAGACTGGCCTGTAAAAGAGAAACATCACATGGACTGCATTAAAGCAACCCAATCTCCATGGCTAAGGACAATGTTGTGAGTTAGGCTGTCAATTTCCACCTGGCCTTAGCTGAAGGGGCGACAGGATTGAACCCTGACCTCCGACCTGGATGTGATTTCACCTCAGACCCAGGTTGACTAACTCCTCTGACCCTGATACAAATTCAATCACTGACCATTTCTCTGCATGGCTGGCAGAGGTCAGAGTTCACAAATCCTTTCCGTCGCTCTGACAATGACAGGATTTGTTGCGCTGGAAAGTGTGTCTAACCTGCCTGCTCCCAACCCTTGATCTGAGCAAAAATTTAACTATGGACATTGCTCCATCCCTCTAGCATTGGATCCATCCCAAATTAATTCCATTGTCCCGCTCTCTCTCCACCGTCCTGCATCAATCCCAAACTAATCCCATTGTCCCTCACTCTCCCTCCAGCATTGGATCCATCCCAAACTAATCCCACTGTCCTGCTCTATTCCCAAAACCCTGCATCAATCTCAAACTAATTCCATTGTTCAGCTCTTTGCCACAGCCCTGTATCAATCTTAAACTAATCCCACTGCCCTGCTCTCTCCCCATAGCCCTGTATCAATCCCAACCTAATCCCATTGTTCCACACTTTCCCCACAGCCCTTGATCAATTCCAAACTAATTCCATTTTTCCCGTAGCCCTGCATCAATCCTAAACTAATCTCACTGTTCCATTTGCACACCCCCACCCCCATAGCCCAGCATCATTCCCAAACTATTCCCACTGCCCCATAACCCAGTGTCAATCCCAAACTAATCCATGTTTCCATTATCTCCCCAATCCCTGTATCAATTTAAAACCAATCTCTCTGACACATCTGTTCTCCATAGCCCTCTATCTTTGACTCCTTCCAAAATTTAATGGGTTCTGGACTTAACTTGACTGAACTGGGAGTGAGAGTAAATGTGTGTGTGTGAGCAAGAGAGAGAGAGAGAGAGAGAGCAAGAAAGTGAGTGAGCAAGACTAAGTAAGTAAGCGAGTGAAGCGAGATCAGAGATGTAGAAAGATCAGAGGTAGCAAGATCAGAGAGAGATAAAGTTAGTGCAGAGAGAGAGAGAGAGAGACAGATCAGAGGGAAATAGAGATGGAGAGACCAAAGATTGATCAGAGATAGAGACTGATAGAGAGACAGAGCAAATAAGAGATAAAAAGAGAGTGAAAGAGAGGGAGAGATAGATAGCATGAGAGACAGAGACAGACAGAGAGAGAGAG